CTTCTTTCTCCTTATCCCCTAGGTTCCTCATATACCCTTCCCTCCCCCCTCCCTTAAACTAACCCAATTTTTATCCATATCTCCCTTATTAAGGCCTGTTACCTACTACTCTTCTCCTTCAGGTTATTTCTTTTCCTTTACCTCACTGTTTCCTTACCCTTTTCCTGGTTCCTGCAGTTATGTCTGTTTGCATACTTATTTATCAGAGTCTGATCCTAGTATCCACATATGAGGGAGAACATATGTCGATTTTTTTTTTTTTGAGATTGTGTTAACTCACTTAGTATAACAGTTTCTAGTTCCATCCATTTCAGAATCGTAATTAATCTGAATTTCTTAGCTGCAGTTCTAGTAGTCAGCATGAGGCAAATGTGAGAATAAAAATACATACTAATAAAACACACATTGTGAAAGTTAAACTTTAAATGGTATCTGTCATAAACAAGGAGTATCCAGAATTTAATTTTTAGTTCAAATAGAGTTTAGAGCATTAAATAGTCTATTTTATAAAAGTGGTAAGTTACAGAATATAAGAATTTGTTATTCACCACAGCTATTGAATAGGTTGCAGATACATCTTAAAATGAATCAGTTAGAATGCATTTCTTTACAGAAACATTCGGCTAAGTCTGTACACTCCTGCTGTTCAGTTGGGTGTACATGCGGGCAGGTCGGGGGCGGGGGCATCTGACCTTCCCCAGATTAGAAGTCATTAAACACTTTAAATAGTTCCTATTTTCTTCTGGTATTTCACAATTCATTCATTTGACTTAAAGACCTTCACACTGAATTATTATTTTCCAAGATCTACTGATCAAAGGATCAATCATTTTGTCTAGTTTGAAGGCAAAAAAAGAGATGACTAAAATCTCATTTTCAACTTCAGAAAAGTTAACAAGGAAATATAAACAGATTCTTTCTAATTTGTGGTCAGTAAGTACCATGTGGTGTTTGTTAGTAATATGGGTGATTTAAAGTGCGGTCATTTCATAGAAGCCTTAGTTTTCTCCCTCTAAAATAGCATTTTAACCTAAGCCCTCTGAGCTCATCATTCATTGAATTAGTTGCTTATCTCCAAAATTATGGTGAAAGTGGAGAGTGGATTCAAAACAAACTTTTTTTCTTTTTTTTTTTTTAAAGTACTAGTTCCCTTTCATAAATAACTGAAACTCTGTGTCAGGCTTGTTGTATTTAAGAAAGATTGTTCTTGGGTCTGTTAGCATAGTGGGTGTTGTGGTCAAGTTAGATATCATTGAAATTCTGCCCTGATGTAAAACAGTCTTATCAGCCCTTGAGTTAGTTTTCAAATCTGATCTTCAGACCCGAATTACACTAAAGATTTCCTTGTCGTTTCCCATAGTTCTTAAAAGGAACAAAGTTCATTAGTCATTGAAATTGACAAGAAGGGGTTTGATACAAGTGTACACTTGATGGTGACTATAAAACCAGATAGTGAGTTGTAGGCATTAACAAAAAGATAGTATAATAACCTTCCACAAAGTCATGAAAGTGGCCAAAGTATAGAATATTAAAATGACATATCAGAATGAGCTCTACTATAGTTCTATAGTTTTCTTGAATCACATTTATACTGAATATTAAAGGATCTAGAAGATTAAATGTCTTCATTTTCTTCAGTACTTTAAAAGTATAACTATAGTATTTACTTTATTGGAAAGTTAGAAAAGAGAGCTTTTGATTACACAGAATATTTGTTTATTGATAACACAGACTTTCAACACTAAAACTCCATGTAATATTTTGTTACTATAATTTTATTTAAGGTAAGAAAATTAAAAGATATGTGAGTTTTAGGGCTTGAATAGTTTGTCAAGAGTAGATAACACATTTTCAAGATAAAATATAGTTAATATATTACTAAACTTTTAACAATGAAAACATTTTTAGCACTTGACTATAGTAGCTGTTTCTTGCTATATAGAGTTTTGATAGTAGAAAACCTTGAAGAAACTCACACAATCTCTCCACTTCGAGATATATTACTTCACATCTAATAAAGCAGTCAATTTTACGCCTCATTCTGTTAGAATAGATATTAATAGTGTAAGTCCCTGGTACACAGACACAATCTTTTGTTTGGTGTGTTAGGGATTGAATCCAAGACCTTATTAACAGTAGGCAAGTGCTGTACCACTGTGTTATGTCCCCGACCCCACAAACCCACATTTTAAGATAGTTTTTCCTTAAAGCTTTGATCTCAGAGTAAGTATGGACTCTATATTTATGGGTGTGTCAGTAACACCCACTGAGTATAAAGATTAACTATTTGAGTCACCACAAATCCTTTTTATTCATTTACTTTCTTATTTCAGAGTTCCATTTTTCTATAGTTTCCCTTTTGATTTCTTATTGTGCCCCTTACTAATTTTGGAAAAAAATTAGTATGGTGGAAATTGTATCTGTGCTTTAAATACTGTATTACTGTTTCATATAGGAGATAGTTTTGTTGCTTTTTTAGTTCAGAATTTGCCTTGTGATGGTAGATGGCATAGAATTCATAGGAGTGTAAGTATTGTATATAGTACTAGATTCACATTTAAAGGATAAAGACAGCTTGCTGTAGTATTTTGCTGTATATTAATGAAACACTTTTACAGAGAAGTCATGCTTTCAATGAGCACCGTTGGCATGTTTGGAGGTATGAATCCAAATTACCATCAGTGATAAAATAAATAAGCAACTTAAACTTTTAAAAAGCTGTTACACTGAGAAACTATGGAAGAATAATTTGTAATCAAAATATGATCCCAACTCTTTTCTTGGCCTGCAGGGG